ACTCCAGCAGTTCTACTTGTGCAGTGTGAGACTGGAAAGCGGAAGCAAGCCTGCAGGCAATACACTCAGCCTCCGGGTAAAGATGAAAAGGGAGGGTACCAGCAGAAAGCAACGCTCCACTTAACCACGTTCTCCTAGTCATACAGACACAAGTAATGAAGCCCTTTAAAAGGCTTTCTGTCCACTCTGCCTTACGAAAAAGAATGAACTGTAATTCTAGAGCTTTAAGTGAGCGCACAGCAGATAAAAAGTAAATTAAGATGACCCTCGGGTCTCTGCAGAGAATCCTCTGAGAACACTCAGATTAGCGTTAGAAACTCAGAACTCAAACCAGATCCGTCCTCTTACCACCACTTCTGCTGAAAACCAGCTTTACAAGTGTGTTTAAAAAACAGCTACATGGCAACGTATAATTTGTATTTTAAACAAGCTTAAGACAAGTTTCACCAATACTGGAAGCCAGTGAAAGCCAACAGAAGCATTCCCACAGTCATTCCACCCCGAGATGCTTGTTTCTACTCCTGCCTCATGCTTCCCTGCAGCAGCATAAATCTCTGCACAGCTGCACCATTACTTTTGGAAGTGTTAGCACACTAAAAGGTCTTGTGAAGTTCAAATCCATCATACTGAAGGAAAAACTGGTCTTCAAAGCTTGTCCTCTACACGTTCAGCCTTTGGGTAAGATACGACTGCACACGTCTACACACAGGTATTGCACTGAGCAGTCCTTAGACTCCACTGAGTGACAGCAGAGACTGAACCTTTAGTATCACTAAATCCAATGAGACAGAAAGCTCCAGATTAGTTAGTTACAATCTATTTACTTTGCACAGGAACAAAGAAACTGCCATACCAGATCAGACCATTTAAGCAGAACCCTACCACTTGCAATAACTAAGAGTGATAAAAATCAGACATGGTAGAGGGTGACCCTCTTCCAAAAGTACTCCCAAGCAACAGAGCACAGAAGAGGTAGAAAGGCAATCTTCTCTCACCACAGTATCCCCTCATCTTGTTATAAACAAAAACAATATACTTCTAGAAGCAGAAAATTTGGTAGCTTATTTACACAGATGGTTATAAACATCAAGCATTAGAGACCTGGATAAAATACAGAATTATATTTCACCTTATCTGGGAATAGCCAAGATCAATAATAAGCTATATTTTTTTTACCTTAGCTACATTCTGACAGGAACAGAGAAAGTTCGTGTTTTAGTGACAAAAAAATCCTTGGCCATGCTGTGCAGTCACTGTAAATGTTCTTCTGTTTCCACCACAACTCCCAGTGCTCTGTTAGCAGCATTCATGTCCTCCTTTGAAAGTCATCAAAGGTGCTACAAATTGATAAACAGATCTGAAACTGATGAGCTTTTTTATATGTACAAACACACTTGTACATACAGACAAAACTTCAGTTTTACAGTGTGACCTTGGTGTCTCCAGCATGTGTCAAACAGCAACTGCAGAAAAATACAGTATAAATGCCTACAAGGGTTGCCTTGCAGCTGAACTATCTAGCACATGCCTTTTCAAACACCTAATTTTCATGGAGGTCACAAAGTATGTGGTTACAGCACACAGATGAACTGCACCATTTATTTCCTTTCATTTTTATAAAAACATGATTACAGCAATATAAACTAATGCTGTACTTGAGGAAGTAATAAGGCATCTACACCAATTTCAGACACAAACATCACTTTAAGCTCTGGATGTTTTAAAAGCATATTGTTAAGCTCACAGAGAAGGAAATGCACTTTACCTCCATGGATTTCCCTCATGTGACAAGAAATCACACTACAGTTATCAATGAATTCACTATTTGGATTTTGTTATAAACAAAAACAATATACTGACAGTAAACAATATCTATGGGATAAGAGATTTGAAGTGCTTTATCATGTTGAAGCTGCAACTCTGAGGAAAACAGCCCCCTTCTTCTCTTACAGTGATATAAGATAGCTTACACCCTTCAGTGCTTTTAGTGAAAATATTCACTCTGCTGCCTGACATGCAGAATGCTGGAGAGCTTGAAGGAAAAAGGTAATATTTACATCTATAATTCAACAGCAGTCAGTTTCCCTTCTCAGGTTCATTCTGAGGCTCAAGAAGGTCTTTCAGCATAAACAGAGAATCTGTTTAAAAGGAAGTAACTGTAATACCAAAGAGACGGATAGGGGGACATTAGAGCAAGCATAGTATCTTCTAACTAACAGCAGATCCTTACAGGAAAGTACAACTCACTGCATTCAAAGCCTCCCCATAAAACATTATTTAAAATATGCCTTTAAGTTTGCCTCTTAATAAATACCTGGGCAACAGCTGCCCGGGCAAATGTAATGTGAATTACTATTATTCACATATCAATTAGCCTCGCTCCTCCAGCTGAAATAAGTCAATGTTAAAATGAGGGCAGATAGATGTTTTAAATTTTTTCAACAGTTTCATAAAGTATTTCTTGGTCTAATATCTGTTTATTGTTAATAAAGCACACAGAATTACTGAGATACTCTACATGAGCATTTATGGGTATTTCTGAAGCACAACTGCTGTTAAAGTTGTGATTTATTTTCAACTGCCCTTATAATAAACTCAAAGGAGACTCACTGAAATACTGAAGAGAAAAGCTTTTGGCATTCAGTATTTTCTAAGATTTGTTAACATTCCTAGTCAAATAGCACAAAGCCCTTACAAGTATTTTAACACGTACACACACTCAATACACTGATTTGGCCAAATGCAGGTACCTAAAAGTAAGCAAAATTGTCTGTGTGAAAAGGAAAAAAATTCCACAGCTGCTTTGTCATTGCTGCTGTGGGACCAACTACGAGGATGGACGCAGCGTTTCACCACTGATGCGACACACATTGACCTTCCCCTAACGTCGAGCCTGACTCCCACTTGCTATCACCACGAGACTCAACCTCTTTAAACGTACTGTGATGTTCTTTTTTTCTTGAAAGCCAGGAAACTTGATATAACTGTATTACAATATACAGCACATTGTAATATCATGACTTTATAAATACAAAGGTGATGCCAAGAGTTTATAAAAAGACAGGGCACTCACGAAAATTTGTACATCATTACCTTTCCTCAAAACATTTACAATTTCCTGCTAATCCTTCTGTAAGTACAGAGCCATTTCTTATCTGCACAACCACACCACAACAAGTATTTTTACACTGCCCTAGGAACAGGCCAAAATCCATCTGAATTGCTGAGAATACATATAAACAGGACATTGTCTAGAAAATAGCTCTTACTACAGAACTCCTGTGGTAATTCAACATTTAAAAATATTGCTGAGGTTTGACTGGCATAAGACACAGCTAGAAAGAACAAACAAGTCATATGCCCAAACAGGAATTATACTTTTATGAGATTTAAATGATTAGCCAAACTATAAGGCATCACTAAAATAGATCCCTGGATGTTAATACTAAGTTCTTAAACTACAGAGTCCACACCAGATAAAACCTTAGAAGACATCCAGGTGAAACTGTCATCTTCACATCAAAATTACCTGGTCATACTGCAGTCCCTACACACACATACACCAGTAAGACCCAGGGAGTACATAAATGTGTTCTAAAGTACTTAAACTGCTCCACCGCGGGCATAAGTTCGCATGCAACCTGAACACTTGCACACATGTTAAACAGGCAAAATAGTGGCAGATCACAAGAAAACGGACTTCTCAATTAAACCATACTGAAGGCAAACATCGGCTGCAAACACCAGGGCGCTGAATGCAACCAGTGAAATTTATCACCTAGACTAAGCCACGACAAAATTACTTTCTCCTAGAAATACAGCAAGGATATTTACACTTCAAAGTCCTTACTCTTCTTACTAAAACAAATCAGTTCTGCATTATCGCGAAGCTGCAAGTAAGAATCTGACTTCGGAGAAGTCGGGGGGAGGGGGGAAGGGGAAAATAAAAATATAATAAAGTAGTTTTCTCAGTTTTGCAGCAAAGTACTCGGGCAGCGCCTGGGGAGCCCGCAAGGCAGGCGCTCAGCCGCAGCCCGGCCCCGGCCCCGCGGGCAGCGCCGCGCCGCCGAGCCCCGAGCCCCAATGGCTGCTGACACATCCGGCCCCGGCCCCGCCACCGCCCCGAGCTCACACTTCAAAGCCTTTCGGGACTCCGGCAGAAGTCAAGCACAACCGCACCCCGCAGCCCGACGGGCCGCCCCCGCGGCTGGGCTCCCGCACCGCTGACAGCTGCGGCCGGCGGGGCAGCCCGGCGCGGCCGTGCCCCTCCCTCAGCCCCGTACCAGGTGCCCCGGGGAAGGCGGGCGAGCTCTGCTCGCCGCGCCCCAGCGCTGCGCTCCGCGGCTGCTCCCGCCGCCCCCGCATCCGCTACCGGCCCGCGGCCAGCGGGAACGGCGCGGCGGAGCCCGCCCCGAGCCCCGTCCGCGGGAGCAGCCCCGACGCCGCCGCTGTCACGCAGCGCCCGCCGGGACCGACCCTTGCCCGCCCCTCCAGCCGTAGGCGCCCCTCACCTCGCGGCGGGGGACGGCTCCATCCTCCGCTCCGCGGCTGGGTCCGTCCCCGCCGGGCTCCCCGCCGGCAGCGGCTCCAGGAGCTCGGCGAAGCGGCTGGGGGAGGCAGCCGGGCTGGCGGGGCTGGAGCGCGGCGGCCCGGGGAGGTAGTGGAGCAGCAGCGTCTCGGGGGGCTCCGGCGAGGAGGAGGAGGAAGAGGAGGAGGCGGCCGGGGCGGCGGCGAGGAAGAGGGGCGCCTCCGGCAGCCGGTCCAGCTCCACGCTCCGCACTTTGCGCAGCTGCTTCCGTCTCCAGTCAGAGCGCTGTTCTCGGCTGCCGCCGCCCGCCTCCCGCAAGAGCCCCCCGCCGCTCCCGGCGACGCTCCCCGCCACCGCGCCGCCTTTCAGGCTCCCGCAGGCGGCGGCGGCGGCCGCCTCCGCGCCGCCGCCCGAGGATAATCCCGATGACGAGGCGCGATCCCCCGCCGCCGCCGCCATTTTCTCTGTCGGGTCACATCGGGCTCCCGAGCACCGGGGGCCGCCGGCGGACAGCGCGCTGCGCAAACGGCGCCGCCTGCGCAAACGGCGTAGGGCGGGGGCGGACGGCGGGCCGCGGCTGCGGCCGGAGCTGGAGCTGGAGCTGGAGCTGGAGCCGGAGCCGGACGGCGTCCGTCCGCGCGGCCGAGCCGAGCCCGGGAGCCGGTAGAGGCGCCAAGCGGCGAGCGCGGCCCCGCCCCCACGCGGCCCTCCCCACGTGCGGGAGAGCGGCGGAGGCTGCGGTGGCCGCGGGGCGGGGTACGGCCGGGCCGGGCCGGGCTCAGCCGTGCGAGGCGCAGAGAAGCCTGCCCGGATCTCGGAGCGCTCCCAGCTCGCACCCCGCAATCTGAGCCTCTCCTCCGGCCGGCATTTCCCTGGCAGCCGGCGGGGGCCCGGAGGAGAGGAGCGGAGCGGCCGCGGTGCCTCGCTGCGTGCAGCCGAGGAAGCGCCTCTCCAGAGTGCCCCACTCACCTGGTCGTCCCTCTCTGGAGTCAGTGGGAAATTAAACGCACATCCTCGCTCGTAGCCCCCGCGCGTCCTTCTGCGGGCTGCCCTCAGCTGGCCGGCGCCGCCGCGCCCATGCTCAGGTGCCCGTGCCTCCGTGCCTGCAAGCGGCGGAGAAGCGTTAGTGCCCCGCCGGAGCAGCCGCGCTCCATGTGTGCGCAGGAATGCACACGTAGATGAGCTTACACCCTGCCACGCACACCTACCGCTGCGGCTGTTTCCTGAGAGACTGCGAGAGAGAAGAAAGGCAGGAGACATCACATGACCGAACCTTGGGAGGTTCAAGTAAATTTTCTACTTGTCGGGATTTTCGCTCGACCACATTGGGGTGGTTTTGCTCTTTTGATCTGAGATGAGTAAAGGAAAACTGAATATTGCTATGCATACGAGGTTGTTTTCAGGATGGTGTGGATTTTAGATAAAGTAGAAGTCACACAGTTCAAAGCACTTAAGCTGAATATTTCAGGCTTATTTCTCAGAATTTGGTGTAACAGCCAAGTGTAACATTAACTAAGCGTCTCAACAATGATGGTCAGTTTGCTGGGATCAGTGATTTGATCTGAAGCACTAGTTGAGGGATAATTACCTTCTAACAGAAGTAGATTCTTTCTTTCTTGCCCTGTATATGTCTGATCAGAGGCTGACCTAAATATAGGGTCTTCGCTGGAGGATGTGATGAGGATATAGGAAGAGATTTTTCCCTCTAGGCAAAACACTCTTTGTACTCTATATACTTGCAGAATAGTATCAGTAGGTAGGGCTTTGAGGTCACACTGGGTGAATTATTTAGGTGGTCTGTCAAGATGCCACACTACAACTGTCCTTGTGCAAGCTTTTCAGTGAAGGGTGCTGTCAGAAGGTCAGTTGCATTCATTGTCATCTTGCAAGTATGGTTTCTTTGGGATAAGCAGATCATCTAATATTCTCTTGTAATGTACAGCTCAGCGATATAAATTAATTCTGAGTTTTGTAAAGGTAGCATTTGACACTTAACGCGTCTGTAAATTAGAGAGAGTTTTCTGGAAGATTCCTAGACCAAGACACATTGACAAAGAGAGAATGTTACTAATGGAAATAAGATAGCAAAGTATCCACTTTGTCTATGCAGCATGAAATTAGTTCGTTGCAAATCAGTGCACTATTATAGCTTTTCAAATATTCCTCTCTGCCATAAAAATCACATTTACGGAAAAAAGAAAGAAAATAACCACACAAACCACTATGCTTTTAAAGACATCTAAACAGAACAAGAAGTTGACTTTAGGTATTTTATAAATGCTTATCAAATGGAAGAGGAATATCCCTTTGAATAGCAATTGGTTGGAGTAGAATGCAGAGAAGAAGAAGCATATCCAATAAAAGTCAGTCTAGGAGGTAAGGGTGCATACAATGTGTATGCCAGTTCTAGGGGACAGCTCTCTCAAGGTGTAAAGACTCCAACAAGGGAGAAGGAAACAGGAAATTCAAGAAAAATGTCAGAGTGGCAGTGGGGTACACTGGGGTGAAATGTTTTCTGGAAAGAAGCTAAAAGCAGGGAAAAACATAAAATACAGGGACAGTGTATTTACAGTATTTCTTACAGGCACCACTATAAGAAATAGCTAAAAGGAGAAAGATGTCACCACTCCTGTTAAGGCATTACTTTGCCGTTAGAGTAAGGCCAGTGCTGTCAAGGTTTTGCATTACTTTTGGATAAGATGCAAAGTGGAAAACCCTTGCTATTCTGTCATTAAAAAATGCATGGCATGCCTTGTAATGGTTGTTTATCCTTTGATTACTGCTGATCTAATAAATTACATTCTGCCTATAATCCTTATATTCACCTTATTTTTTTCAAATGTGTGTTTCTCCACCATGCCTTGACCAGAGAAGGAAGCACAGTGGATAATAAAACCACTTTCCATTCCTCACTCTTGAACACTACGTAGTGCACTGCTGGCATGCAACACAGATTTATACACAATATAAAGGCTCTACCACTTTGAAATCAGAAATTGAACATGCTGATTGACATCTGTGTTTTCTCATTTGCTCTTAAAAAAAAATTGTGCTTAAAGAAACAAGTTGACCTGATTGAAAAAAAAGTGCAAAATTTACTGAAGAGCTCTGAAAGATACTCAGTTACCTCTTGCACAGATTATTTCTCAGTCTGTCTAAAACACAGCTCTAGAAGGTAACCTGAGACTTTTAGCAGTTTTTAGTCACAAGTAACGGCACCCAGGGTTTGTTATGAAACAGAGGCCTTTGGCCTCAAATTAGCATCGTGCAATATTTGGAACATCTACCATTGTACACAAAGAAACTTCTGTTTGGGAACACACTAAGATTTTGCAAGCCAAGGAGTTTCCTTGTTGCACAAAACTTGTAACAGTGTAATGAATAATCAACAATTTTCAACATGCTAGAGATAGAAATCTGCTGTGCCCCTGAATACATAACCTAGGCATCATCATGCACAAACAGAATAAATATGAGAGATAACACAGTCCATAGTTTCTGGTCTTGACTAAACATGCAAAAAGTGCTTTAATACTGTATACAAACTGGATTCTCCCTGTCTTGTTAGTCTGTGTAGAAAGACTTATCCCCACCTTGATCTTCTATTCATTCTTTCCGTTGGGAGAAAGGGAAAACAAACCTGCTCCTAAGCCAAAATCCTTTCCTGTTTACTCCTCTGTGTAATGGAAAAGTCAAACAACTAAATGAGAACCAATCTGAGGACCTTTTCATGCTACTTTCCTAGGTCCTACTGAAAATCTGCTGGCATCACTGTTTTCTGTAGAAATGCTTTGCCATCTTGCTGATGCACCGTTCTTACTTTATAGCATAACAGGTATACCTTTCAGAAGAAATTTTCTTCAGAAAAACAGGATCCTGTACCACTTCTCAGGAAAGAGTATGTCAGGTAAAACTAGAATCTCTTACAGAAAATTATAGGGGTTTTGCTCACGCACTGGGAATGTCTAGCCTACTGCTATTTATAAATTTCTTTCCTTAATGTTTTACTTATGCTTTTCATTATTATTTTAATTGAAAACACATTTAAAGATTTTTTTTTCCCCTCACATTTCAGTCCACTGAACTTCTGTTAAAAATGGTTTTTTGGATCTGTGAAACTAAGGGTGATATTTTGACCTAGGTTTCAGACACATAGTAGAAGGAAGGAGCTGTACTTAAATCTCTTTGTTCTGCCACAGCATGTAATAACAGTTCCCTGATTCTTTTTAAGAAATAATGGTGATGATGCTGCTTACAACACTCCTGCATTGTCTAGTCACATTCTTTAGACTTAACTTTTTTTTTCTGCTGTAGCATCTACTCATGAACTGGTGAACCTTTTGGTCTATGTACCATATCATCCAAAGCAAAAAGGTGATCTTTTTCCAAAGGGTTTGCAATTTAAGTATGAAAGACAAACAGGCAACAGAGCAATCAGCAAGCTAGAGTGTAGTCCTTGTACAGTATATCTGCTGCCTTGACTTTTTTTTTATCACTAGTTTGTACATCTTGCACTAACTACTGAAATCAGTTCTATTTTGACCTCAGATAGTCTTTAGAATATTGATAGCTTGATGTCTAACTTGGATATTCTTCTTGGCTGTACTACAGAGGATTTTTCTGGCCTTGAATAAGTCATGATCCTTTCATGGTTCAATTTTTCCCAGCTGTAACTGTGTAACAAATATATTTACCTTCCTAAGGCATGACACAAGACTGAGGGATATAATATTATTGAGTTTCAAGATGAATCCTTGCTCAAAAGAAATGTATTAATGAACTAAGCAAAACCTGTTAAACCTCTTCTCATACATCACTTACGAAGATCTACCAAGATTATTGCAGCCATAAGCTCTTTTTCTTATATTCTTCCAGACTAGTAAATTGACAGCATAGTTCTCACCTGGATCAACAATTCCATCTATTGCAAGCACCACTGTCAGTTCTCTCGCTATGGGAAAGAAATTCTAGCATTTCAGACTCAGAAAAACAGTGATAGCTCAATTTTCCTTCACCCTACTGCTACCACTGCTAAGTCTCTCTCAGCCTAGGTGTTTGTTATTCCTTCTATGAGTTCTATGAGTGAAAGAAGACAAAGAGAAGCACAGCTTTTAATAAATTGTGGCAGCTTTGTTCCTGGAAGGTACAGATTTCCAAATTACCAAGAAACAGATGCAAGAATTTCACTTTTATTTTTGTCTCAACAGGATAGAAGAAGGACCAGTTCCTCAATGCCACTGAAGAGGACCCTACAGTTATTCTTTTCCTCGGCCTGCTGCTCATCACCCTTGCTCTGGCAGCAGCAGAATCACACAGTGCCAGCTGCAGTTACTGGTAACTTGAAAACAGCATAAACATTCAACCACCAGCAAACGTTAAAAGCCTTGTTGGTGTATCTCAGCATGGCTGTGGGCTGTAAAACAACAGTCTTGTGTGATTGATATATCCAGCACATACCACACAATCCTTCTGAGCATCCTGTAAAAGAAGAGCAGACAAGAGCGATACAATTTTACAGAGACCTCTGGATAACTGCCTCCCTGAGTAATTGCCAGATGGACAAGGAGCTGGCAGGAACACTCTCTGCAGAGAACCCTGCTTGCTTTCTCCAGAGCCAGTGCTTATCTGGATAATCATTTCTGGGTGCAGTAATGGCATCCAGCCTGACACGTTCTCTCCCTCCTTTTCATTTCTGCTCATTCCACCCTGGCCCCCCAGTCATAATGTCTGTCTGCTTCCATTCATGACGGCTAGCAGGGATGGCAGTGCTGTTCCTCCTCCTAAATCCAGCAGGTGGACCTGCCAAGGACCTCACAGCTGTTGGAGGAAATAAAACTCAGCAGCAACAACCATGCCTAGCTCATCATATGACCCCTTTATGCCAAGCTTGCCAATTTTCTGCCACCATGGTAGAAATGAATCAAACAGCTATTAGCTGTAACAATGACAGGGAATCCACAGATCTTAAAAATAGTTCTGAGATCCTTTATGTCCAAACAGTCAGATCTTTTACCATCACCACCTCTTTAGAAAAGGCTGCATGGCTTTTTGTTTAGGCTTTTGAATCTCTGTTATTGCCTCCAGCCATGTAGTTGGCACAAAACTACTTTTTTGCTTGTGTGCCAGTCACAGTCCCTGAGAACAGTGTTTCCAAAGACATTTAATCATGGTGTCCAAAGCTATCATCTAAACTAAACATGTTTAAAAACCATATGATCTGGACATCAGTAGAAGGCATTTGCCTATCTAATGACAACGTG